AAGATCAGAAATGTGGTTTGGTTCTTTTATGATTGTTTTTCTTTGCCTTTTTACAACTGATTTAGCTGAGCATTTTAAAATTTAAGAAGCTATAATATTTTCCACTTGTGAAATTGAATCTTGGTATATAAAACTTGGTGTATCGTTAGTCTCAGTTACCTTTCTTTTTATGACATTTTTAATTTTTTTACATTCAATTATCTGCGGAATTGGGCCATTACAGTGATCCTTATAGCTTACCTTTATCATTAGATATGTGTGTGTGTTAGCAATCATAGTAGTTTGTAACTTAGCTGCATAGTCGCAGCATCTACAATAATAAACTATTTTTCCATCAATTTTACAATCATAAATGTTATTAAAAACTTATAAAAAACCCGTTTACTTCTAACATATCATGTTTTTGATGAGTCGATTTCATCAACATCAGTGTAATATTAAAAATTATATTTTGCATTTCGGCCAGTTATTTATAATAATTTTATCTAACACTACGTACTACGTAGGTATTTGATACGATGTACGTCACTGAACTAAGGTGAACTACTTTTTTATATTTCTCGTATTTAATCAGATATAAAATAATCACATATTATATCAATATAGAATTCTATCGTAATTCTACGATAATAATTGAGTAACAAAGCATTATATTTATAAATATTATGTATATTGATATTTCCCGTATTCTCAATCAAACAAATTCATTACCGATTTGGAAATGTATCATAATTTATACATTCTGTATCGTAAATTCTATTACGAAATAAGACAGTATTTTATTTAAAAACTCTGTATTTTGATATTTCTCTTTCCCGATCGAAAATATTTAATGTTCTATAACACCATTTAATTCTAAAACACAGATTTTCTAAAAGTTTCATATTCTAAAATATAGATTTTCTAAATCTATTCATTCTAAAACTCGGCATTCAAAAACTTGACTTTCGAAAACATGCACCCAAATCGAAGGATACATATCATGTATTATGTATTTATAATCTATACAAAGAAATAAAAGCGTCGTTTTTCTAGTCTAGGATAAAAATCTACAGTGCTTAAATCAGTCGAGTTAAGTCATTTGATGTATTATGAAGTCCTTAAAATTTAAATATGCAATGTAAATAAATGTAAATGTATTTAATTCCTGCAGAAGACCCTCATACTTATTAATAGTCCTACTAGACCTACTATTGTTAATTTTTTGTTATACTATTCCGACAAATCATCGTGCAAGCATTAAATTCTCTATTAAAAAGAGGAGGAAATGTGTAGCCAACACTGTTATAAATTATTTGAATGTCAACGATTGGGCACCGGATAGTTCGAGTATATTACATTTTATTCAAGCGCAATTTGAAATAATGTTAAAATAATAATTATTTATATGCAGAGGGACGGATGGTGTGGTTTACAGTACAGGAATGGTATGCGGATCTCAATCTGTGGCTAGGATTAAACTTACCGGACGGATTTTGGTGTGGGAATCAGGATTTATTGCGCTCGGACCATATACATTGGTACGTTATGATATATTATGTAATATTATTATAGGTGGGGATTATATTAATATTATTGAAGTGTGTGGCATGTTTCAAGTTTCCGAAAATTAAGAAACATAATATAAAATATCCAACAACAGTGGAATGAATTATGAAATCGTGAACATTTTTTTTTCTAGATCGACTTGATAGCTAGCCGTATGTGAAGATTTTGAGCGTATAATAGTACATGATATCATGCGCCACAACTTTAATACACATATACTACTCGACAATTAAGTAAATGATCATTTTGCCGTAAAAGTCGCTTTTTGCACAACAATCTATTATAAAAGTGACTTATTGAGACATATTTAGTAATGCCAAGGGTATATTATTTAATATATTATTCAATTTTATCTAGGAGAAACAGCAATAAAAAATTTCAAATTTAAGATCCGATAAAAGTTTCTTTATATTTCCCACTGCTGAAGGTTTGGATCCTTGAGCGAAATGCATAATACATAAAATGTTCGTCTTTTATATACCAGCGTTAGCGTATATATCGATTCAAGCCAAATAATTACATTGATTTGTCGTATATGTATGTGTTAGCAATTATGTATGAAATAATGTTATTTTTTAAAATATTTTGATAAATAATAATACGCCAACCAAATCAAGACTATAAACTGTATAATTTAACTAAAATTTGTTTAAAATCTCTGTGATTGTATTCAGTTACATTTCATGTGTATTAGAAGTGATAAAATTAAATTTCTAAGATATGTGATCTAATTGATGTAATTTTAACAATCGACAAAAAGTACATTTAATAATAACCATTATGATATATGCGGCCAAATAGTACTTAAACACTTTTAATCAATAAGTTTAACATCGTCCATAAAAATTTAGGTGAATTTTATCGTTATATTATATAATTTTAAAAATGTCATCAAAACTAATTTTAAAATAAAAAAAGTAGAAGAAATTATTATACCTATTTAATATATATATTTAAATGTAAATAAACTACAAAGTTGATGTAGGTTTATATTATTTATATTTTCATGTATTTATATTGAAATAATTGTCAAATTGTTTACAAATTTTTTTAGTTTAAATTGCTATTTTATCCTAAATATTTGTAAAAAAAACACTTCAATTATAAAATATATTTTTGAATGTATGTATTCAATATTTTTTTTATTTTTTTTTTAAATCGAAATAATAATTTTATATCCACTCTTCAATTACTTATTGATGTGTATACTAAATACTTGAACTATTCTTAACCGGGTATTTAGTAAAATAACTAGCTATTCTACAGAAATTCTAATTAAAAAATGTATTTTATTTTATTATAAATATTTCAATTAAAGCATTCTGTTAAATTATAAAATAACGAATCATATGATTTAATAGTAACCTATTATACGACGCAGTACAAATAATCACGAATGCAAATCGAGAGGTATAAGCTCATAATGTTAAATTATCTTATTATTATTATACCGATCCCGTATTCCGGACAATTTATTATGTTATAATCCTTATGAACTCTCTTACCCGATATCTGTTGACAGTTTTATATAAAAAAAAAAAAAAGTATTCATAAGGAGATTTGCAAAATCCCCCGAGATCTATTCGCTATTTACCATTGAATATATAGATATGACTCGAATTATTAATAAATTAGCAAATACAGATCCGTGTATATTAAATTGTATTTTAATATTGGTTTCGATCAATATAAGTTATCCACAAATCAGGGCAACACATTTTAATCTATATTTTTTAAATTATACTGAAAGTTTAAAATAATTTACCGTACATATAGTGAATAAAGTAGGTTAAGTTAAATTTAAAATACATATACTTTAAGAATAATGTTAGTCATTTTTCACGTATGCAATTTAAATTTCGATTTAAAATACACTATACTGCGTTTGGTTGAGTGGGTTTTTAGATATTTATACACATTTTTTATTTGTAAGCATTTATTTATTTCAAACGTCAAATTTGTATTTATATTTTGAAATATATTTCACTTCGTGATAATTCGTTCGTATTAAAGTTTGAGTTTCAAGTCTATCGAAAAACCATTTTACGTATAATAATATTATATGCATTTTTCATTGGGTCATAAATAATTATATTTTTTTTTTATGTAGGAAGACATTACGTGCTAGTTAAATTACAATACATATTGATGTTATGTAAACTATATATCACGGTATGGTGTTACATGTATAAATTCATTAAAGGCATATTATATTTTTTAACTTAAAAAGAGTTTATATTTTAATTTTATCGTTTACTCGTGTGAATAAAAATGTTCTTCACTCAAATCAATTTATTATAGTTTCTTACTCAACGCATACATTGATAATAAGAAAAAAATACAAAATATAAGCACACTTCACCTCAATTCTATTGTTTTAATAAAATTATTTTATAATATACGAATCACGCAGAAATTTTATATGTATTTTAAAATAAAACAATATTGTTTTTTGAACAACCGTTGACTATATTAAATTGATAAACATTCACTATCTATAAACATTAAAATTTGAACAAGAAAGTATTATTGAAAAATGTTATGATGATTTAGTCACTTAAATATTGGTTTTCAATCTCCTAGTTTATCTGAGTTTGACTCAATTCCAAAATCCAATCGTACAAATATTTTATTGCGAAAATAATTTATAGCAACAATTTAACAAAATTGTGTTTTTACGCAACTGTAGTTTATTGAAAAAAAAAAAGAAGACTTCATAGTTTGTGATATACGTATAAAAAACCACTTTCCTATGTGATTTGTAATGATTAACATACATTTTCTAAACTTCAGTTATTTCAAACGAATAAGATATACCTACTAACGTTTTTGATTTAGGATAGTTTACAAAGTTACGCACATTTAATGTTCTACGTATAAAAAATAAAAATATAATACTAATATAAACTAATATTTTATACAATTATTTTTCTCTCTTCGCAAATATCATGTCAAATACAACTCTGCTAAACGATATTTATTACCGACATAATATTATATCTAATTATTTTAAAACTTTAATAGTCAAACCAATTATTTATCGAATTATGCATGTGTTATATTGTAATATAGTTTTTCAAGTGTAATAGTTTAATAGTTTAAGTTAAAATTAATTTGACCATAATAATTGATAGCTAAATTCATTAAAAATAAAAATAAAATAGCATACATAGGGAATAATCTTTTTTGATAAAATTAGTAAAATGCATTAAGAACTTGGTTAATATGGGTAAAAAACTTCGTAGTAATGGATCAAAAATACATACTATAGGTAATTGTTTCTAATTTTAAATACAATTGTAATCGAGTTGATATTAATGTATAGCTATCATTTCATACTATATGCTACTATAAATGATAACTATTTATTTAATTAAATCAATTTGATAAAAACACTTCATTAGGTTTACGTTTTCATAAATTATATTTTTGTTATTGCTGATAATGGTTACCTTTCTAAATGACTCTTGCGGCCACGTCTCCTCGCAAAAATCTTTCCCGTACATCTCCTTGTTAGCCATGTAAATTCCATATGGTAGTGTGGCTACCAAAGAAAATATCCATATGGTTGCGATTATTTGTGCTGTGGTCCATATGGTCATCCTTGGTTGGAACGGGTAGATGATGACAAAGAACCGATCGATGGCGATAGACGTTAGTGTCAACGTGGAAGTGTACACACTGGTACCCTGAGCGTATGGAACTATGTGGCAGAATATCTCACCGAACATCCAATGGCCTGTTAAATAATGACAAAAAAAAACACATTAAATACATTCTTTTATACAAAAACATAATATTAGTTCAATACCAAACACCTAAAGCCATATGGTAACTGGCAAGGTGTTTATTATAAATCGTAATGTCTCGAAAAAGTAAATAGAACCATCATCTATATAACCATAGAATATGTAAAAAATGTATGAGTTAAATCAAACAAACCTTCTATGACATGTAGTCTTTTAAAAATTCGCTTTTAAACGTATTACGAGCTTAATGCCTAAACAACGCCAATAATATTATTGTTTTAGATTAAATAATACATTTTATATGTACCACAGGTACCCACTTACACTATTTCATAGACGTATTAAATCGAAAAAAAAATATTACGATTTATTACAAATAGATAACGTAGTGTGACATGATGCAGATGTTATTTTTTTTCCAGACGAGTTCTCAGATACCGTTAGGTGTCAGCTTGTGACAGGGGCTTTAAGCATGATATAACCATGATACGAGTTTACATACATGACGTAGGGTTTTATACAGGTAGGTATCAAAATAAAATCACCTGGTGTCTTGTGTGACGTTTACACCTTATACCAGTTAGTAAGCATCTCAAGTGACTTTTTTTCATTATTTAATATAAGTACTCATACGTGAGTATTTTTTTTTTTTCGTTTTAATCGATATTGATATCTACGAATATATTTGATATTCTATACGTATTAATAAATACTGCTAAGTACTATAGGTTTTTTAATAATACACAGCAAACAACGTTAAGAGGTATAATATTCTATCTTTACAACCCTCCACAATTTTCGATTCCTTTCACATAAAAAAAAAAAAAAATGATTCCAAAAACAAATTTTTTTTGAAAATCATTAATTAATAAAAAGATAAAATTAATATATAGTTTGCAAATATCGTATTTTCTTAAAATCAAAAATTATTTTTTGGTACCATCATATTTTAAAAGTTCAAATACACAGGTTTCTAAAAAAAGAAACTGAACAAAACTGAAATAAATTTGTTCTATAAATAATATGAAATTGCGCTACTGCGTTTACAGTAATTAAATATAAACTCAGTTATAACATATTATAATAGGTATTATTTAGCTTGTTTATGTGATTCATAGACCGATCGGCAAAATTAGAACAACAGTTTGATTTCATTCTTTTCAGCTGTTGAAATTATTAATTCTGAAAGATATGTCTCCACGGACGTTTTCAGGGTGTATGGTGAAAAAGGATTCGACTGCAACACAATAATACGCATAACCAAATAGGCACCATGCCGTGCGTACACGCGAACGCACCAACTTTCTCTGAGCACTCCCTTGGAAGCCATTCAACTTAATTTTCCATTCGACAAAGAAGATGCCACGGGTATGACATATACTGTACATGTAAAATTTATATATATATATACGTATACATACATATATAAGATATATGTGTGTATGATGCATAAAGCGCATAGATACAGATATGTGTGTGTGTGTATACGTATAAAATAATAGTGAAACACAGAAGGGTCATATAATAAATTTCATTGTAATATGTCAAAAAGTAGAAGCGTTTTTCTTTTAATCGCCCCCTCACAATTTTGTGGCAAAAAAATAAAATAAACATTACAATACCTTTGAAAGCTACAATATAATATATATAATATATATATATATATATATATATGCATATAATGATTTATAGAGTATATATGTCATATATAGAACGAGAATGTATTGTACACCGTGAATTATTTAATACATTAAATAGTATATTGATTACTGTCATTACTCATATACTGTTAAAATACATAGGCATGATATAAATATATTATTATATTGGTAAAAAATGTCGATTTTAACAATATTCATCCACAGATGAAAAAGAAAGAGTAATATATTATCGTCGAGGCCAAAATGAATTGATTTCTTTAACAACATTTCTGCAAAGAATTATTACTTTAATTCAAAAACTTAAATTTTTTTTGTCATTTTCGAATGTATACAATAAACATACGCATTATATATAAATAATTATTATTTAAGCTTATAATTGATAATTGAACAATCGAACGTCACTCACACAAACACTGATTTTCAATAATTTAGAGTAATAATTACCGACATAGATTTTTGTCGAAAACATTTTCAATACTGCAAAATTTGTCTTTTAATTAAAAACGAATTTTTAATTTTTTTTTTTTTTCCAAAAACAATTATATTATAATAACCATTATACAGTAGACATTAATAAAACTTAAACTAGCCATGTTTATATTATAAAGAAGAATTAGAAATAAATATACATTTTTTATTCGTGGAAAGATAATCGGTATCGTAATTGGTTATATTTCATGAGATAAATGTAAAAGTTAACAAATGGTATACTTAAATTTGTTAAAATATAATAAGAATTTCAATTTTTATTTTTATGGATTATATTATACAGTTGACAACAAGGATTTCAATTTTTCACTTTTCTTTCGTGCTTATAACTCTTAGTTACTTGAACTTGTATTCTAAAGTCTTAAGGCAATTACGAAAATCGGATAAATACTAAATTATGTGCTGAATTCAAAGTTAAATGTCTTTTGCTGACAATAAAAATGTTTGTAACCGTTATAAATAATTATAAACAAAAATAATAATAATAATAAGGAAAAGCAAAATAAAACAAAGAAAATTACACTTTCAATTATATCGTATTGTTATTTTAAATCAAATCTCAGCTGCATGAACACGTTTGGCAAATAATTTGTCTGTAGGAAAAACTTTTCATTTAAGTTGGAGTGATATTATTTTTGTCAACATCCGAATAGCAACTCGTTACTTCAAGCAGTTTAAAGCAACACAAAATCACACGAAGTTGTATGTTTCGGCTGATCTAAGTGTTTTTATTTATTTAATGTAGTGTCAAACCATAATAGCTTTGAAGGCGTTAGATGATAATGAAAAAAATCAAAAAGATCGCCAGTTTTATTTCTCTTGAGCATTATAGTCTCTACTCTCTATACGGTAGTACTTCAACTAGATTTGGTGCGTTTGAAACATATATTGTTTAAAATGTATAGGAAAAAAAAACCAAATATATTTTACAACCTGAATTTCTATGCAACTACACGTTATTCATGCTAAAAAAAAAAAAAACAACTTGCAATCGTTTTCCATTGATACCAAGTTTGTCCTCGCAGTTCGATCACTGTCATTATTTGCAGCTGGTACGATTACATTCTCGGCGATATATATTTATGAGATTATTCAATCACAAAAAGTTTATCTTAGATACATTTTTGTTTCGATAAATATTTCACAATCGATCTAGCACAATGATGTATTTATTGGTACATTATATATGACGTAACAAACATATGATATTATTAAAATATTACCATATGAAGTGAATCTGGTCCAAAAATATACGAATTTTTCTTGTCGAAAGATTAATTACGACAACAGTCTAATCCCCGACTAAACAATAAAACAAATAATTATTATTAGCGCTGAATAAAAAAATATTATATCGAATGGCACTTGACATTTGTCTATAGAACGTAGTTTATACAAAACCTGTTGGTGTGGTTTTCACGACCAAGTAAAAAATGCAATAAAAGTTTCATAAAAAAGTATAATAAATCATTTCAGTATCTTTTATCGTATCAACGTGATGAAGACTGCTTACGCAGTTTTATTTGTCTGTATAGGATAATACAGATATATTATGATGAAGCTACGCCACACATGATACATTGATACTACCACTCACGGTAGCGCTCCTTATAATAATACGATATGATAATGTATCGACGGAAAATCAGATTACAATAATAAATAATGTACCTACAATACATTGAATTCTAGGATATTTTTGTACTGTTTTCACGAGACAATGTCTTATTTTTCATGATCACGTGTTATAAGCTCTTGTAAACCTATTCATCGTAAAATTAAATGTCTGTTTATGTATTGATAATGCTTAGTATTACTTAGTTATAAGTTTTTATTAAATACAATTATTTTTACAGAATTTTATACTAGGTAGTTTTAATAGAAGAAGTTTTTAAATATCTTAATAAATTATTAAATTATTGTAACAACAAATATAGTTTATTTGTAAGTAATAAAGCTAAAAATATTTTAGAATTACAGACTCAAGTGTTTTAATATAATAATAAAAAAGGTAACTACTATTTTCTAATATTGTCCATCAATGGGTTATTTTTAAAATTAATAATTTAATATAAAATAAAATCTATGAACACATATAGATTTAAATAAATGGCATATAATCAGCATTTAAATAGTTAACAGGAAATATAGTCAAGTAAAAAAAATTGCATACAATAATGGATATGATTGATAACAATATTTTGTTAAGTAAAAAGAGTAAGGTTTATCGTCGCAGAAGATATTTTTAAGTATATGAAATTAGGGCAGAAATATTGAAACATATATTATATCTGCTAATAATAGGACAATGACTGACTAATATAATGAGACAAGCTTTTTTTTTATATAGACTGTTTAACAAGATTGATAATAACAAAATTCAAGACTAAGCATTTAATCAAAATGGTTATTTTAATATATACCTATATATATATATATATTATGTAGTAACTTGTTTTATATCTTGGCACTTTTTTTAATCTAAATATACAGAAGTTATAGTGTTAAACAGTAAGACTTCATCTGAATTTTATTAAAATATTTGATATTTATAATATACTAGAAATAATATTACGTCCTTTGATACTCAAGAGTATTATCAATTTTCAAAAGAATTTTAGTTACACTATTGAAATAATATCATCAAATTATCTGGAAAAAATGGTTAAGCTAAACAGACTGCTTTTATAATTAAAAACATTCTTAAAAATGTAAAAATAATGATATAAACGTTGAATTATTTAAATCAAACTATAATAATAGTTCAGTGGCAGGGTTAAATTACTAGCCAGCAATTTTTTTAATGAGTAGAACATTATACGATTAATGACTTAAGA